CCACCGTTTGATCTCCATTTCCACTTGTTAAAAAAAAAACTGTTTTTTAAAGAATTAGTTTACTTGTTTGTTTTTTTAACATCTTCTTAAAAGTGCTTTTAGCTTACAGTGGGAATTATTGGATTGTGGTAACAGCCTCTGAATCTTCCTGTAAACGCGAGCAGAAAATAGTCCTTAGCAAGTAGAATAACATGAACCACATTGTCATAAAAATATATAGATGGCAAAACCATTTGGATATTTCCTCCTGGAACAAAACAACATATACTCGACCAAAAGATGCATGTTGACACATATATTGGTTAGCTTCTTTAACTTACCAAAAAGGCTTAGTTTTAGAGGAAGACTTGTGCACTTTACATGCTTTTAATGAAACTTTTTGTTGTCTTTAGTCTCTAGAGCTTGGACGAAACTCAAATACAGGAGTTGCGTCTTGTTCATGAATGAATTCCAAAGTGAAGGACTCTCCTGTTTTCACGCCATTCCCCTCACAAAATACCTTCCAACCACATCCTAGAGCCACAGTTCCTTCTTTTGACAGTAAATATGCAACCCACTTCGTTCTGTTTTTACCCAACAATGCTATCTTCCCAAGCTTGTTGATGCCATTAGCCTTCATGAATTGACTAGGAAGAATCTGCAAAAGATTTGAAAACAAAACACCATCTCATCACCAATTAAAATCAAGACATAAACTAACCCACCTTTTTTAAACAAGAGTTGTTTGATCAACTTACTAATTTACAGTCTCTGACATCTTCAAGTGTGAGTGTTAATGTCACGAATCGATTTTGGATTGCTGAAGATGATTCTCTCATCTCCTCTCTACTGTTCTTGTTTCCACTGTTAGGCTTTGTGGAAACATGTTCTTTCTCGCTAGCTTTTGAACAATTCTCTCCTTGTTGCCTTGTAATACTTGTGGAGTCTGTATTGAACAAACTCAGCATTGGAGTTCCGTTTTCCCAGATTGTTTCCAACGTGAAGGATTCACCCGTCTTTAAGCCATTTGCTATCGCAAACTTTCTCCAGCCTTTTCCCAAACTCATTTGTTTTGTGCCTTCCCGTCGATTTACCAGCCACTTTGTACCATCTTTTCCCAACAGAGTTATCATCCCCGGTTTGTCCATGCCATTTTCTCTCATGAATGCCAATGGAAGACACTGGAAAATGTTTAAACGAAGAATTACAAAAGGCACTCTCATTTTGCGATAAAACCAACACAAGTTTTTGTTTAACGAACTCACCTGACTAGATTTTTCAAGGCTGTCATGTGTAAGTGTTAATGTCACAAACCGGTTTTGGCTTAGTGGAGTTGAATCTCCACATCTCAGATAGTTCTTCTCTTTACTCATCTTTTTTCCACTGCTAGTTTCTATGGGAAGAGACTCTTTCTTGCTTGATTTTCTCCTCTACTCTCTTCAGGGCAGAAACTGAGCAAAGGCATTTCCCCTTTTCCCACTAGTTTGAACACAAAGAGGCCTCCAGCTTTTATACGGTTTTCGTCACAGAAACTTCTCCAACCTCGGCTTATGTAAAAAGTATCAGATGATTTGTCGAAACTCAGATGTAATGCCCACAATCTTTCCCCTCCATCTGTTAAAAAAATCTCGCGGCATCTTCTTTGAAGACCATTTGAGCTACTGAAATCTTTTGGAAGATACTGCAGAAAAGGAATCAAACATTTTCAGCATTTCTTGATGACAGCAAGCTAGACAAACACTTTCTTTAGTGTCATGACTAACCAAAAAATTATGCACACCAAAGTAAACCAAACTAAAGTCCAAACAAGAGTTGATTAAACGACAGTATGCAAAAAAGTAAAAAAACAAAGCAAGTATAAGCACCAGAGCATCTTTGTGTAAATTTGAAGCAGTGACAAGGGCCACAAAACAAGAGTGGTCTGATGAAGCCGAATCAGTTTCTGTTTCAGAATCGTTCT